TTTCTCTTTTCTGCTCCTCCCTCCGTTCTGGGGCCACCTGCCACTAAAGCCCCAGTCATGTTCTAAGTGCTTTATAACCAGGAGGTGAATGATCTCCATAGGCTTCAGGAGAGTCACATCCAGGTGACGGGCCAAAGGAGGCTTTCCTCAGCCTGAGGACGTGTGTGAGGTGCACCCCATGGGGCAGGCTCAGAAATCACCCTCCTGACACCCAGCCACGAGCTGGTAGCTGGATATTGGTGTGTTTCTAGTAAAGTGTGCATCCCTAGGGAAATACACTGACTAGCAGAGCAATAGAAAGAGGGTTTTTCCCCTTTACCTTTGCTGGTGGCAGTGTGAAACGTGCAGTTTTTAAGCCCTCCTCTGCCTGCAAAGAAGAAAAAGCATGTTAGACCTCAGGGGATTCATTCAGGGACCACAGGGCTCCCACACCTCCTCGCTGTGCTTGCCTTTGCTTCCTCCTATTGAGAAAATCAGCCCAAAAACAAGAGTTCAATCCTAGGAAGACTAACTGCGAGATTCCTGCCATTGCATCCCTTTCCCCTCCTGGCAGTAGGGCCCTGCAGCCTGTATTTTACTCTCAAAGAAGAAGGGTCCTTCCTAGCATTGCCAGTTAAGGGCAGGAGATGCCTTCCCCTCCATCCTCTTCCCTCTGGGCTGCTGCCCCCAGGTTCCCTGCAGCCCTTGCTTGGGCTCGGACACCCAGCCAGCTTTTCTTTCCCTCTTTTCCAGAAAGAGGTTGAGAAAGATCCGTGAAATTACGTAGCCTGGATTTTATGGCATTCCTCCTGGTTGTTTGTTTTTTTTATTATTATTATGATTATTTTGAAATGTTCCAGTGCTCTCTGGCCCTCATTCAAACCTTCAACATCTGCTGCTCTTCAACTCCTGCCAGCCCAGCGTGGGCTTCCAACACCAGCACACTCTGCCTCCCCCAGCCCTGCTGCTGACCCCCTGGCATCCCCCCCCAGCCTTGATCTGCTGCCTTGCCCCACCACACCCTAGCACAGATCAAGGCTCCCCTTTTTTCCCCCCCACTTCCTCACCTTGCTGGATCTGCAGCTCCACAAAGCCATGGGCAACCTGCAGGGCGTGGGGCTTCCCGTGTTCCCGCTTGGCCTCCACAGCATAGCAGCAGTAATTCCCACTGTCCTGCAGTGTCAGGTTCATCACCACGACATGAAAGGCACCGTGGCGGTCGGGAACAAATTCCACCCCGTGATGGCCCCCAGAGGGGGATTTTTGGGTGCTGTTGCCCAGCAGCTCATGATGCCTGCCCAGGTCGTGGTGCAGCTCCTTCTCGGTGACGTTGCGGATGTGCTTCTTGTCGGAGCAGCTCTGGTCACCACTGCTGCTGAAGTACCAGGTTTTGTAGAGCAGGTCGTGGTGGTCAGCAAGGGGACCACTGACCCGGCAGGTCAGGGTGACATTCTGGCCCTCAGGGCAGATGCAGAGCGAATAGGGGGTGGTGATGAGGAAAGCTGCTGGTCCTCCTGCCGGGGAGAAGGAACAGCGGCTAGCTGCCACTAAAGCCCCAGTCATGTTCTAAGTGCTTTATAACCAGGAGGTGAATGATCTCCATAGGCTTCAGGAGTCACATCCAGGTGACGGGCCAAAGGAGGCTTTCCTCAGCCTGAGGACGTGTGTGAGGTGCACCCCATGGGGCAGGCTCAGAAATCACCCTCCTGACACCCAGCCACGAGCTGGTAGCTGGATATTGGTGTGTTTCTAGTAAAGTGTGCATCCCTAGGGAAATACACTGACTAGCAGAGCAATAGAAAGAGGGTTTTTCCCCTTTACCTTTGCTGGTGGCAGTGTGAAACGTGCAGTTTTTAAGCCCTCCTCTGCCTGCAAAGAAGAAAAAGCATGTTAGACCTCAGGGGATTCATTCAGGGACCACAGGGCTCCCACACCTCCTCGCTGTGCTTGCCTTTGCTTCCTCCTATTGAGAAAATCAGCCCAAAAACAAGAGTTCAATCCTAGGAAGACTAACTGCGAGATTCCTGCCATTGCATCCCTTTCCCCTCCTGGCAGTAGGGCCCTGCAGCCTGTATTTTACTCTCAAAGAAGAAGGGTCCTTCCTAGCATTGCCAGTTAAGGGCAGGAGATGCCTTCCCCTCCATCCTCTTCCCTCTGGGCTGCTGCCCCCAGGTTCCCTGCAGCCCTTGCTTGGGCTCGGACACCCAGCCAGCTTTTCTTTCCCTCTTTTCCAGAAAGAGGTTGAGAAAGATCCGTGAAATTACGTAGCCTGGATTTTATGGCATTCCTCCTGGTTGTTTGTTTTTTTTATTATTATTATGATTATTTTGAAATGTTCCAGTGCTCTCTGGCCCTCATTCAAACCTTCAACATCTGCTGCTCTTCAACTCCTGCCAGCCCAGCGTGGGCTTCCAACACCAGCACACCCACCAGCCTTGATCTGCTGCCTTGCCCCACCACACCCTAGCACAGATCAAGGCTCCCCTTTTTTCCCCCCCACTTCCTCACCTTGCTGGATCTGCAGCTCCACAAAGCCATGGGCAACCTGCAGGGCGTGGGGCTTCCCGTGTTCCCGCTTGGCCTCCACGGCATAGCAGCAGTAATTCCCACTGTCCTGCAGTGTCAGGTTCATCACCACGACATGAAAGGCACCGTGGCGGTCGGGAACAAATTCCACCCCGTGATGGCCCCCAGAGGGGGATTTTTGGGTGCTGTTGCCCAGCAGCTCATGATGCCTGCCCAGGTCGTGGTGCAGCTCCTTCTCGGTGACGTTGCGGATGTGCTTCTTGTCGGAGCAGCTCTGGTCACCACTGCTGCTGAAGTACCAGGTTTTGTAGAGCAGGTCGTGGTGGTCAGCAAGGGGACCACTGACCCGGCAGGTCAGGGTGACATTCTGGCCCTCAGGGCAGATGCAGAGCGAATAGGGGGTGGTGATGAGGAAAGCTGCTGGTCCTCCTGCCGGGGAGAAGGAACAGCAGCTGGGTCAGACCTGCAGTCCTGGACTTTCCATGAGCTCATAGCAAATCCTTCCCCAGACCCTCTCACTGATGCTGGCAGAGGGATGGCTGGGGACTGCAGAGAGCAAGCAGAGGGCATCAACACCAGCCTGCAAAAAAATCCTTCACCTGTGCCTTTAGGGCAAGAAAAACTGATGGGCTCCCTGTATCCCAAAAGAAGGGAGATGGGAAGCACAGAGTGAGCCCTTTGCTTCCTCTGTGGCAACTTCCCAGCAGGGCTGCAAGCCCAACTTCACCCTAGAAATAAGTCCTGGAGGAAAGGCATGCTTTAAAAATAGAGCTGAGCATAATCTTTGAATACCCATGGGGAGAAAGCTGCTTGCTCAGGGCTGGCAGAGGAGGGTGGCATGGGGCAGGAAGGTGGGGGTCTGCCCCTTTGCAAAGCTAAGGCTGCAAATGAGGAAATACAAATGCTGCTGAGCCAGCTTCAAGTCAAAAGGAGAAAAAAAAAATGTAAAGAAAATAACTAGGAGGAGCCTGTGCCCCCTGAGAACAGGGAGGGAGTGGGTCCCACCCTGCTGGGCCACTGGGGAGGAGAAGGGGGAACCACGAGGAGCTGCTTGAAAATGAAAACAGTTTTCAGAAAGAAATCCTGGACGCGTAGTGGGAGGCCTGGCAGAGGCACAGGAGTACGTTGGGAGGGACAGAGGGAAGCAGTGGAGTGTACTGGTCCCATCCCAGCAAGCTAGAGGAGGGTATGGGTGGGCCAGGGAAGCTGTGTGGGAGGGGAGAGAGAAGAGCAAAGAGAGAGGCAAGTCTTTGGTTTCTGTTTGCAGACGTACAAACATCACCTTCAAAACTGCAGGATAAGGAGATTCTAGGTTCACTTTCTTCAAAGTGCTGAGAGAAACAGGCTCCTGGGGCTGGTTTGCAACAGAGGAGATGGTACGAGGACAATCTGTTCTCTTATTTTGGTAACATCCTGTTGTGCCATTAGCTCCGCCAGCGTTTCGCCTTGAGGTTTTTCACTTGCTATATCGAGCGGGCGTCAGTGGCAGGCAGGGTGAGCTGTGCCTGCCCACAGGCCATCCAGCCAGGCTCCCCACCTGAGCGCATCCTCCTCCTCTTCCTCCTCCTCCTGCAGGCAGGGTCCCTGCCTCACCGCCCCAGCACAGCGCTCTGCTGCAGAGTGAAACCGAAACTGTGCCTTCCCACCCGCCGTGGTTCTCTATGCTGATTATCAGGGTGATGGTGTAAAAACAACCCTACTGTGTCCCCAGCAGACTCGCCCCGAGGGTGCTCTGTGGGGTTTGGGAAGCAGATCTGCCCCAAGAAAGTTTGCAACTCGTGGTGCCCAAGAATCACACGGAGCTGGGGATGATGTGACCTTTGACAAACCACTCTGACTAATTAGTTCCAGCATCCTGCAGGCACCTTGGCCTGGTCCCCACAGCACGTGCAGCAGAATATCCCCAGGGTGGAGGTTTGCACGGCCTGAGCTGAATGTTTTTGCCCTGTTTTTACTTGTTTTCAAGCCCTGGCTGCTCCCCATCCTGGGATGCTGCGGGGGGCAGGATGCTTGGCCGGGCTGGCTGTGTTTTGGCAGGCAGCAAAGCAGGTTCCCCCACCTCCTTGCCAGCACTCCAAGCACAAAAGGCACCTCAGATGTGTTTCTCCATACCTGCTGCAACGGGAAGTGCCCCATTCACATTGGGGGTCCCCTGGGAGCCTGAAAAAGGGAAGCCCAGGCTCTATTGCAGGAAGCTGCACTTCCAACACCTTGCAAAAGTGTCTGCAGGAGTCTTTGTTTATCCACAAACGACCAGCCCCCCCCTCACATAAAGCGGGAGTGTCCCGCTCATCCCCACAGAGTTTTCAAAGTTCTGCAGCATTAAACTACCCAGCCTCCACCTCTGGGGCTTGATGGGAACCATCTGGATGGAAAGGCAGCACAGCCCACGCTCTGGGCAGCAGCTCCTGGCCACGGGGAGGGGCAGGGGGTACCACGTGTGTGAAGCCTTTCAGCATTACCAACTTTCCTTCTTCCTCCCAAGCAGGGGAGAACTTCCAAAAGAACACCAAGCAGAGGAGAAAACAGTCAGGGGAGATGGCAAGGGGCAGTGTGTCCCATAGCAGCAGCAGGGAGGTCAGTGTTCTCTCCCTGAGATGTAAGCAGGCTTTAAAGCCATGCTGGATGCCAGATGGTGCCCAGAGACAACATCTTCTGTCAGTGTCTTTACACTAAAGCTCATGGGTCTTAATTTTCCCTGGGTGATGTGGGCTGCTTCTGTGCCCAGACCCACAGGTTTGGCTCCATCCCATCCCAGTCAGACCATTCCCTTTGAAGTCAGTGGCACTGGCAAATGCCTAAGTCAAGCCAGATGCCTGGCTCTGTGCAGCTCCAGCCAAGAGAGCTGGGGGAGAGCTGACCCTGTCGAGGTCCAAGCCAAGAGCTGTCACCTCATCACCATCTGGTAAAGACTGAGGAGGTCTCAAGCAGGTGCCAGAAGTGCCTCTCTTTCTTTTTGGCACCTCAATGGCTTTGGCTCCTCCTCACCAGTCCACAGCCCAGAGCCTGGTGGTGGCACCTCTGCCTAGCTTGGGACCTGGGAACTCCTCATTCAGAGAAAACCAAACATGAAAAGAAAAGTGCTAAAGCTGAGGAGCCTTTGTGGCTCTGCCAACAAACTGCTTAATTAACGCGGGATTTCAGGCCAAATTCTGGGTCTCTGAGCAAAAGCTGCTCCTGGTTGCTTCTCCTAACTTTTGTCCCCCACTATGGCAAGCAGATGCTGGGTTGAACACTCCTGTGACTCCCAGAAGTGATTTCCAAATCATGTCACCTCCTTCCACTCCAGGGTGAGAGGGCTGCAGCCTTTGGATGGCCTCACCTGCCAGAGGGAGAGCTGCCTCCCAGTGCTGGAGTGAGGAACCCAGCTTTAATTCCTCTTCTGGAAGCTTCCTAACAGCTTCCCATGAAAGTGCTGCAAGCCCCATCATCACCGTGCAGCCATTATCCTCTCAGAGTTATCACCTGGATGTGCAGGGATATCCATGCTTTGGGCAAAAGTACTTGCAGCAGGAAAGAAAAAAAACTTGCTGAAGATGCCAGGTGCTCATGTGTCTCCTGCACCCCAAAGAGCAAAATGGATACCCATCATCCAGGCTGTGGGGAGATCAGGCTGGAGCTGCTGCACCTGCTGGAAGGTCCTGCCTTGCTCCTCTTCCAGCACAACCTGGGCTGGTGCTTGGGATGTGAGTTTGGAAAGCCCAGCTCAGCTGCCATCCTTTGGGTGGAGGGGAGCTGCTTCCCTATCCACCTTGCTGCCAACATCCCCAAACCAGATGGGAGCCAGATGTCTCCAAGGGCTCTACTTCTCCATCAAAGCCTGGCTAAGATTAGTGGGGGGTTCAGAAGGTTTTGGCAGCCACACGGTTGCATGAAGCTCAGTTCCTCCAACACCAGGCTCATGTTGAACGTCGTTGTCCAAGCTTGTTGGGTGGCAGAAGGCTTGATGTCCAGTTCCAGCATCCCAGATGTGTCAAAGAAATAATCCAAAGCCCCGTGGAGATGCTGGGAGTCACTCCCTGATGTCAAGAGGCTTGGATGAGAAGCAAAGTGGATCCAATCCACATCAACTTCACTGTCCCACTGCAGTGGGACATCATCTCTTCCTGGGGACGTGCAGCAGAAATCCTGGAAACTGTTACTTTGGCATCCCAGACAGAGGGAGAAGCCAAGCCTGATAGGATTCCCATCCTTCCATGGTCCTTCCCAGCTTCATTCTCTGGCCTTTCATCCACAAACGAGCTGTGGTTTTAATTACCACCACCCCCATTTGCCTGGCCCCACAGCCCTGGTACAGAAGCTCTGCCTAGCAGAGCTGGGGGCAGCCAGGCATAAAGTGGTCCCCTTTGGCCCAGAGCTTCCCCCCCATCCCAGAGCATCCCTCCACCAGGAGCTTCCAGAGCTGGGAAGTGCTCGCTCAGGGGAAAGGAAACTTCCCCGGCGTTCCTGGCCCATCCGGAGGAGCTGCCCGGCACATCCCAGCAATTCCAGGGAGCAGAACAGGGAGGGCATCCCAGCCCTGCTGTCGCAAACATCCTCTCTCCTTTCCCCAGGAGCTGGTGAGAGGCTGGGGGAGATCGGCAGTACCGGGGCAAAGTGTCCGGTAGGAATGGGGAAGCTTTTCCAGGCTGGGACCCC